TATATATATATATATATATATATATATATATATATTTCTTAAAATAAAAAGGAAAATGAAGAAATAATTTTGACATGAAAAAAATTATCATTTAATTATAAGAATAGCTTGAATTTGTAAATCAATGACTATACAGAAAAAAAGGCTCACTTGAGACAAGAAAATATTTTTCTTCCTAATTATTTTCTTGAGCAAAAAAAATTTTTTTTTTTTTGATACAAAAAATTTCATTTATCCCAACAAAATTAATTCTCTTGCTTTAAAAAATACGTTTCTTTATCCAGAAAAATTTATTTAAGTCAAGAAAATCTTGATGTTTTGAGAAAATTCAGCATCTTGCTCCAAAAAATTTAGTTCTTGACAGAAGTAAATTTTTTTGTCTTGAGAAAATTTCTCTTTTGCTCCAAAAAATTAAATATAAAGATAGAAGTAAATTTTCATTAGTATTGGTTAACATGTCAAATGGGAAGATCAAATAATATTGAACCATTTTTTTTTCATTCAATATGTATAATTGCACACTAAAATAATATAAAATGAGTATCAAATATTCAAGAGAAAAATTTTCTCAAGGTGAGAAAATTTTTTTCTTAGCTAAAGTAAGTGGTGCTGCTTCCCTGAAGTATCTAAAAATCTTGATCAAATAGAAAAATTTATTATATCAAGTATTTATGATAATTTGAATTGAGAAAAAATTACTTCCACTAAGAATAGAATTTCAAGAAAAATTTTTACTTCGGCCATCACATGTTCGATCTTCCTTCAAGCACCTGAAAATTTTCTTGAGCCAAGAATTTTGTTCTTCAGTCAAGAAATTTTTCTTTCTGTGTACAATAAAAATCGCTTATTTGTTAAAGAATTTTCAATATTTAACTTACTCGAATAAAATTGAACATTTTAATTGCTAATAAGTAGCCGATAAATAAAAAATTAACCGCATAAAAGTATAATTGATAGAAAAACTTCAAATAATCTTAACATACAAATTAAATGACATCATTTATTGCTTTCTATCATTACAAAGAATAATTCATCACTCCAACTCCGTAGTATTAACTGGTACAGCTATGAATGATCGATTATCTACTTCCATAGAAATGCACACAGACTTTAAAAACTGCACGGGAACAGCTACGTATTCTTCAGTTATCCAGAACTCATACAAATATGGTATTTTTATATTATTATATGATAATTGAAATGCATTATTAAATTCGAACTTCTTAATTATTGCCTGATGAATGCCATTGCAATGGCATGCAGTTAAACATTTACACTCTGTAATTTTAGTAAAGCAATAAATCCTGCCAAAACAAGGTGTACCCGTGTTATCAATATACTGCACATCAGATGATATTGTCTTTAAATCACGTGAATATTGATCTGAGATATACAATTTACCGTCCTTTAATAATCGATAATATTTCTTGATGTTTCGGATGGGTAATAAATGATGTACTGCACGATGTAAAAACGGCGGAAAGTCATCGAAATAGCTATATGTCCCAACACTATAACAATGTCTAAATAACTTTTCACAAATTTTTACTCCATATTTCTTAGAGATACAAAAATCTCTAACAGGTCCATCGGGTAATTGTTCTTGATATTGTTGCATTCGAAGAACCTGACCGTGTGTGCTTGCAATTTGCGAATCAATATGCCTCGTACCATGGATTAATTTTAAAAACTGTCCATTTAAATCTTCGAACACGTAGCAAGAAGTCGACCATAAAGGTCTAATCCTACGAACCAATTCCGGTAAATGAAGAAGTGAATGCACATTGATAGAGCAATTTTGTAGTCCATAGAGTGTTTCAAAATCATGGACGAATTTATTTAATAAAATTTGTGCGTTGTCAATCATTTCATTGGATATGCTGTCAGCAGTTAGATATGCAATACTTGTAATTAGTAACATAAAATGTTCGAAATAAATATTTTGCATTATGCCAGACAAAACTGGAAGTGAATAATAAAAAAACCACATTCTTAATTCTGAAGCTTTCCAGTGAGTTAATTCTTGTAAGGTTCGAGGCAATCGATGGACAAATTTCGGTGGCTTTATGCTTGTCAATCGCTCATTAATCACTTCAATTACAGAGTACAGTGAATAATGAAAGCTACTGTAAGCACTATCGAACCATAAAGACAAGAGTTTTTTCACCACGCCATTATCAACGCAATGCATTTTATCAATTGCCGTTCCAGCGATAAAATCTGGCATTATATTCGACAAAGCACATGGTCCTTTTACACCAAAATGTTCTTTATTATTCAATAGTGCTAAGTTGCCATACTCTCGAGACTGCTCCGATGTTCGCATACTTGGATTATCAGTAAATTTATAAACGTGAGTTGTTCCTCCTGTTGGACATCAATAACTTTCTCCAGGTTCTAAGCATACTGGGCAACCATAAAAACCATTGAATTGTTTAAAATTCAAGAAATGGGTTTTAGCTGGGTTATCGCACGTACCAAATAATAATGCGGCTTGCACAAATATTTCTCGTCCGTCAGGTAAAATATAATTTGATCCTTCCAGAAGTTTTGTAAATTGTAAATGTAGTTTGTCTATAAATAAATTTGCATCAGGCTTCTCATCATCGAACCATAATCCAGCTAATATTAAATTATGCCGTTTAGTTCGTTCCTTGAAAGGCAATTCATTAATAGTTAAGTAAAGAGGCCAAATGCTAATGTGTGATGATTTGAAAACCGGTACACCATCTGTGTACCACATAAATGATATGTTGTTTTGATTAGATAAATAACCATTTCTTCTTAGGTTTGTGTATAGAGAACCATCATAAACATCATTAATATTATTAAAATTTGCGTCCGGCTGACGGAAACGGTGCTGTAGTCGCTGATAAAATCCTGGTCTATTATACAACTCGCGCAATTGTTCAGAAATAGATAGTGTAATAAAATGTGCTGGTTTACTGTTTAAACATTCCGGACAAGCATCAATGACTGAATTTAAATTTTTTAGACAATTAGAACAATAGTAATGTTTTTTATGATTTTTGAAGTTGTGATTTCCTAAAGCGAAAAATTTTTTGAATTTGAATAAACTATTCTTATGAAGGCTATCGGTTAAACAGTGCAAATTTATGATCGATATAATGTCGGTAAGACATGATTGATTGACGTTGTGAGTAATTAATAGAGTTGCAATCAACAACATGCTCTGTGAAATGGTCAATGGAGCTCCATTGTAAAGAGGAAGATCATAATTTTGATTGTTATTGTTCCTCTGGTTCTCGTCCTCATTTTCTTCATCGGTAAAAATCTGTTCCTCTTCTTCCTGTTCTTCTTCTATTTCTTCATAGCAGTCAAGATTTTCCCCATCTCTCCTTGACTCACGATTAGGATCACAGACATCTTGATTTGAAGTCTGAAAATAGTCATATGTTATTATTTTTTTATTTTTTTATTTTATTTAAATCAACAAACCCAACAGCCTAGGGGCCATTAACAGGGTTAATAATACAATAGTTAGTATATAAAAACAAGAAAAATTTTTGATTTATAACAAGATGACTTATAGCTAGCATAGTGATTTCATATTTAATACAATAATAATATTAGTATTACTATTAATTAAAAAATTAATTAAAAAAAAAAATTACATTAATTATAAATATTCTATATTATCAATATTAATTATAAATATTGATATTAATTATAAATTTAATAGATAGATGGTTAAATGAGTAAACCATTGATGTGTTAGCAATTGCAAACCATAACAAAAAATAATATTAATTGCTAAAATTAAAAAGAAAAAAAGAAAAAAAAATAATAATAATATTTATAAAATTTGTAGCAATTGCACATAATTAACACCATTGAGTTAATATTTGGCCAAGTGATGCTGTTATACAGCCACTAAGTTAGTTTGACAGCACCAGGTGTAAATAATTATCTGATAATTAGTAACAAGATTGTAATGAAGAAACATGAATAGTCTTATATTTTAAAAACAAAATAATATGAAAATATCACCTTTGCTTGATATATACTTTAATTGTTTACTTACTTGATCGTCAGTATTACGCTGATGTGTGATACAATCTATTGTCCTGGAATCTGCTGTATTCTGCAACTCTGGCATACCATCCAAAGTAGTATCATCCTCATCTGCTGAATGATTTTCATTTTCAAAACTATTATTGTTGTTTTCTTGGACCAACGGTAGATTCTCAACCTAAAATCATTATTTTGGAATGTAACAGAGTAAATTTTAATTTAAGTTGGCGTTGCTAGTAAAGACACTGGCAATACTAAAGGTGCGCCAGATGTCTGTCAGGTAGAGTATTCCGAGAGAACCTTTCTGAACCTTTTCCTCAGTGAAATTTGTTACAGTAATTTTATTTACAACGATATTTTTCAGATTATATTATTAATTAGAATTAAATTAATTTCTGGGAATATTTAATTATAAATTGTGTTTGATAAATTCTATTTTATCAATTTACGAAACCTCTGAGTCTTGCTCCGAATCAAATTATTTACATTAGCGCTCCTAATTTTTTTTAATATTCCAATTTGATGAAAATACTATAAATTTTTATAATCAATGATATACTTACCTCATTTTCATAATTATTTTCGTCAGGAACATTATTTATTCTATAAATACTATTGAGGTAGTCTCTCTTTCTTCGTTTAGATAAATCATGAAAATTCTTATTCGACATTTTTGTTTATAATTACGTGCTGCGATAAATTTTCTGTGACTAATATTCAAATTTTTGTAGCAATAAATATTTTTAAATTATAAGTTAATATAAACTGTCATTTACACTTTCAATAGCTCTGATTATTTATTGAACTCACTAAAAGGTTATGTACTATCCACAAACAAATGTTGATGCAAATACACACTAACAAACTCGACACGCATTCACACATACATACATACATAGATCAATTTTTTGACGATGATGCCACCAAGTGTTAAAAAATGCAGTTTTCTAAAGCTACTATTTTATTGGTCAGTAAATCTTAGAGTTTATGAGTTTTCAAATTTCCCGCATATTATTAGCCAATTGCATAATTCTTTTTATATTTTTATGAAATACAACGGAAATCGGTCACGGTGGAGGTAAAGATTGTAAACATTTCTATGGACGGCCATATTTGATAAGATTGAGTCTAATATTGTTTGTGTCCCAGCTCCTTCTTGATACTTGAACAGGTTAAATAATATTTTTAAAATCACAATGCCCCCAACAAAACAGAAAATGCAGGAATTCACTTATGCTCTAATATGGTTTATTAGTACAAGAGAGAGATTCGTTGTTGAGACATCGAAATTACCCAAAACTCGCAGGAAGAAAGGTAATGTCGTTAAAATTATTTGGGAAGACCCTAGCACGTTAATTAGTCAACGATTTGACGTGAAAATTCTCGAACTTGGCAGTAAGTATGAATATATTTTAATCTATTTAATTAAAAGATTTGAATTGGTCTCTTTGTGAGGTTATATTTTGATGATACTGGAATTAACAGACATCTGTCAATTTTTTTTTATTTCTACAATTACAAAAATATTATGAAAAATTCTTATAAAAAATTCCACATCTAGAAATAAAAAATAATTACAAGTGCATATTTTTTAAAAATATTTTTTTTATAACTGATTTTTTATTTCAATAAATCAAAATAATTAAATTAATAAAAATTAAAATAAATAATTAAATTAATAAAAATTAAAATAAATAATTGAAAATTAAACTAAATAATTAAATTAATAAAAATTAAAATAAATAATTGAAAATTAAACTAAATAATTAAATTAATAAAAATTAAAATAAATAATTGAAAATTAAACTAAATAATTAAATTCACATTTTATTAGAATAAATTGAAAATAATTACAAGTGCATATTTATTCAAAGTATTTTTTTGTAACTTTTTTTTTATTAAAATAAATTAGAATAATTAAATTAATTAAAATTAAAAAAGATAATTCCATTAAAATTTTATTAAAATAAATCAAAAATAATTCCAATTGCATATTCATTAAAAATATTTTTTATAATTGATTTTTTATAAAAATCTAAAAAATTGTTAGATGTCTGCTGATTTCAGTATCATACTTTGCTGTAATGTAAGTCTCTGTTGGCATTTCGTTAGTAATTTAATTACATATATTTAATATATCTTAACTTTTAACACAGGTGACAAAAATCAATTGGAAAATATTGTACTTGATGAGGATGGCAATATTTGCGACGATTCAACAAAAGCTTTTTTTAGATCAGTTCTTGATAAAAAAAGATCATTACAAGAAGAACTTAAAGAAGGAAATAAAGCTAGTAAAATCCAAAAGACTAGTCTAGAACACATCATTTAAAAAAAAAAACCGTTATTTGAACTCAATGGATGTAGTTCGAAAAATCAAAAAACAAGCACGCCTTCTATGAAAATAGATAAGCCAGTTATTAAAATTAGTCCTCAGTTAAATAACAGTGAGCAATCAAACCTTACTGAGATTGATTTGCTACAATCAAATCAATCTAGTGTGAATAATTCTAAGAATAATCAGAGCTCACCCATTGAAACTGATGTACCTTATTCTATTAATATACTACCTTCGACGTCTGGAGTACAAAAATTTGTTAAAAATCAAGAACAAGTAAATAATGAAAGTAAAAAAGTTACTGAAGATATTGAAGTACTAGTTTCTGACACTGAAGACATGGGAGCATTACACACCTTTTTGCCAGTGACAGGTAATGTTTATAAATATAGTTATATGTAGGCATTTTGCATTCTTTATTATTATAATTGTAATTATTTTTTAAGCAAAACATAATTATTTTTGTTTATATTTACACAGCTAGTGAAGAAAATAAAAAATTTTTGAAACAAATTTACGCTGGCTTATCTGCAGCGTATCAATATCAGAATATGAAAATGTCGAAGGTATTTTCCCTTTTTACCAAGTATATTGCTATTGTATTACAGTAATAATTGTTTTTCTTTCTTTCTTAATACATAAGCTACTGATTCATAATTTGTATATTTTTTTTGTTATTTTATAGATGATAAAAAGCTTCAAGGTAAATGGAGAAAATAAGGTATAGTATTTAAGTTTTTATTTGGAATAAGTATCTAATAAGTTTTCTTAATTCATGTTATTCGTCTTCAATGTAAATTAAACGATAGTAAAAGTCGATGAATTTAATTTTAGAAAGAAATTTCTCCGAATTCTCACATTTATTTCCCCATTAAATTGATTGAAAGCATTGAACAAAGTGCTGTAACAGAAACAGGTATGATTGATTGGAAGAAAATATTGAAACTAGCTTTGATGGAAATATATGGAAATAGCATTGCAAATTATAGTGCTATTGGCCGAAATAAAAACTCACGTCCGCCAATTGACCATGACATCTATGAAGGAATTTTTCGTGAGTATTTAAAAAATTTTGAACTTCAATGTTGCCATAGGCTTCAAAAATTAAAATGTTTAAAAATCAAACATTAGTTTTTAGAATTTGAATTTTCTGGAAACTTTTAATTTAACTATACATTTTGGTTCATCCCATTTTAAACCATTTATATCTTAAAATATTACAAAGCTTCTATATTCAGTTGAACCGACTTGATATAACTAGTTAGATAATTTCGTTTGAAATTTTACTCTTTTCAATGTTTTTTTAGAATGGGTATTGTTGAAATCAAAAAAAAAAATTTCCAAGCATGATTACACGAACGAAATAACCAGCTTGATAGCCAATAAACGAGTGGCTAAATTGTCAAACAATAAATCACCGGAAATAAGTACTCTTACTTTATATAATAAATTTATGTAATATACTTTCAGTAAATTGAATATGAGTTTACTAAATATTTTACATTTCCTTTAAGTTTCTGAGCTTGAACTACAATTCTTCCAAAAGGTCATTTCTGCAGTTGAAAAAGAAGACAAATGGCATCACAATTCAGATAATCATTTAAGTTTGATGAATTCGGTAAAATAAAAACTTACTTTTATTTACAATTACTCTCAAGACCAATAGGATAATTTTTTGGTGTACTAAATTTCAAATATTTGCTTTCAGGAATCACATAATAGTTTTTTAATACCTGGAGCTACAAAGGTATGATTATATTTGATATTTTGTACTTAATATGTACTTAATATTTTTTCAACATTAAAATTTTTATTTACAGGCCCGAATTTCAGAACAACATTTTATTTCCAAAGTCTACAATTGCTTATATTGAGAAGCGAACAGAAAAGAGTGGGAATTCGAATTTATCAGATTGGAAGAATTTAGTTAAAGAAGCATTGATACAGATTTACGGCAGTAATGTAGGTAATTTTTGTGCCAAAGGCAACGTAGCATCACGGACACCTATTAATTCTCAATTATTTGATGCATTATATAGTAAGTAATAAAGCCTAAAAAATTTTTTTATAATTTTATATTTTTGTTGAAAAATTGAGAGTTTATACTGGTGGAACTTTTTTTTTTGTTTTTAGCATGGGCTAATAGCCGTTCTGAAGAATTAATTACAGAAAAAGAGTTTATTCAGCACATAAATAAAATTGCATCCAATAAAAGGAAAAATAAAAACTTTACATTAGCCAGCAAAACAACTATTACTACTGGCTCCAGCGTCCAAAAATGCAGTTTAAATCCTTCGTTGCCTGGATCAAAACAGCTATATCCACCTAAAATTGGATCCATGAACCGAGACTTTGGAGCTGCTTACAATCATGATTCAGATTCAACACCATCATCAACTGCTTCACCGTTGATATTTAACCAACATGATTCCTCGAGCATTCAGTAGGTCAACCCAGAACCTAAATATGACCACGATTTAGGTTTACGACCTACACAATCATCAATTGATTTATCGTTGATGCCTCGCCAATACGATTCATCAAATGTTCAGCAAGGTTATCCGTATTCATCAGCTTCTTACCAAGATCAGCATTTTAATTATGGGTACCGAAAAACTTATCCTGTAAGTACTCCTCATCAAAATATATTTAACAATAATTACTCACCTGTTCCGGGTGAAAGTAAATTTCAATGGCAAAATATGGATACAAGTGTTTCTGATGAGAGAAATAACGTATTCATGTACTCCAGTCATGAAAATATTGACCAACAACAAAACTATTCTAATATTATGCTAACTGATGAACAAAAAAATTACACTAATTTATGATTTAATTAGGAAAATGTTTAAAATTTAAAGGAACATTTATTTTGTAATTTAGCATGATTATCTAATTTAGACAGTGAGTATTTTTAATGATCTCGAGACTGTTTATTATAGATATTTTTAACACTTAAAAATGCTCTTTTAAAAACATGGGTAAATTATTACTATTTTAAGAAATTATTGTTTTGAATTTGTCTTTTTAATTTCCAATAAAAAATAAACACCTAAAAATTTTATTGGAATTAATTAATTTCAAATTTTTCCCGCCAACGGCAGCCATTTTTATTTGAACCTATTCCCCTTTCCTTTCTTTCCCCTCGCCTATATCCTATTAACCAATAAGAATCTTTTTTGAGGTAGAAATGTAGGCTCAGTAGGCTCAATTTATTGTTTTAAAACTGTAATTTCAGCCTAAGATTGGTAAAAGCGGACAAAAATACCATTTGTAGGCTGAAATTATAGTTCTGATATACGCGTGATTGTAGTTGAAAAAATTTAAAATCATAATTTCAGCCTATAATTCCTCAAGTAGGTTGCGGAGGCTCAAAATATATTTTTAATTTTGTCTCGGGAAGTTATAAGAGGGTCATCGCACATACATACATACATACATACACACACACACACACACACACACACACACACACACACACACACACACACACACACACACACACACACACACACACACATACGACGACATAACTTCCCGATTTTCGAAAATCTTCTATTTTCTTAGAGGGAAGTTGAAAAAACTTTTTTTTATTAAATGGAGTAGAATTACAATTTAGGTAAAAATAAAAAATTGTAAAATTGTGTCCGGTGAAAATAAAATATACAGACATACGGACATCATCGCGAAAACATTCAGGGAAGCTTCCTAGGACCTCAAAACGTCGAAATCTGATGAGAACTCGATTTTCGAAAAACGGGGTAAAACCAATAACTCCTCGATTTTTGGAAATTTTCAATTTTCCTAGCGGGAAGTTAAAAATATTAACTTGATATTAGAGTAAAATTCTTAAGCTGCAATATTTTTCTTTGAGTAAAATTACTTGACTCACAAATTTTTTGTTTCAATTAAAAACAATGAAAGTCTACAAAATTATTATCATATTAATTTAAGAACTTTTATCTAGAATTAAGTAAATTTTGTTTGAGTGCAATTTTTAAATTTATATTATATTTTTATATCTTTAATATTGAATAAAACTAATTTTAAACCACAAACTAGTTTTTATTCATGTTTTAAAGCAAGTGACTGTTACATAACTGACATTGGTTTAATTATGCATTCTATGATAAATTTTATCTCTTCATCCTTAAATGGGCGTCACATGTTGACAAAGTGTCTAATACTCTTGATTTATCAATATGATACGGTTGGTCAGTTTTAGTTGACGTACAACAGCCCAACTACCCTTAAACCAATATTGCTAGGGCGAAACCCATAGATAATGTTATGTTTCCGCCGATTAACTCCAGGAAAAGTTAACAAAGTGAATTACATAAAAATTCTGGTAAATCTATAAGCTGAAACAATTGAACTAATTATTTTCGATAAAATAATTTTCTCAGTATAAACTCTTTCTATAAAAATTTTGTGAAAATTTGTAAAATTTTCCAAAATTCTTATCAGGCACCCAAGAAATTATTGGAATAAATTTTTACTATTTTTCTATTATAAATTTTTAGAATAATTATTAGGGAATTAACCACTAGGATAAAACACTCAATTTGTATAAAAATTAAATATGTTGAAAAGGTTTAGAAATTCGGGTACCGGACTTACGTCTGGAGCCGAAAATGGTTGTCGCCTGGTTGCCCAGGGTAGATTTGCCTGGATTTTCATCCAGTACAATGGATTATAATAATTAAATGTAGCAACGCCGCATCTAAGGTTACCCTGGTAAATATCATCGAGGCCCGAGTCTCATGCAGCGTCATGAGCTTTGACTTCGAGTCGCGATGGTGTTCGCAGAATTCTCTTATCTCTTCGTCAATGTGTTAAAGAATTCTTTTAACAGAATGATCGAGGTTTCATTCAATTAAATAATCTCTATAAATATACAACCCAACTTCAGAATTTGCTAGGACGTTACAAATTAATGAAATTCAATCATTTTTATGTAAATATTTTTATGTCGTGAATGTAAACATATTTAACTGCTAACGTCTAGAAATGGTGAGATAGATGAAAATGTATAACACTTCTTCGCAGTGCATTTTATTAAGTAGAATACAAAGAATTTTGTAACTTTATAAAATTAGAATCCCTAGTAGAAATGAAATCAAGTATCTGGCCAGTAACTGGCTAGTTTAACTAGACTTAAGCTAGGAACTGGCTAGTATAATATCCAGTAGCTGTCTGGTAACTGGCCAGTTTTACTAGATATCAAATAAAATTTGGCGACTCTTGTTGATCTTGAGGCTATTAAAAATTAAATATCGATTTGATTACAATTGAAAATTATAATAATAATAATAATAATAACAATAATAACAATAACAATAACAATAATAATAATAATAATAATAATAATAATAATAATAATAATAATAATAATAATAATAATAATAACTCGTGACATTTATGTCATAGAGTTTTCGGCCCCGGCTGAATACAACATCTCAGCCAAAAAAGAGCACAAAAGACAAATATATCAGGATCTCCTGTTTGAAATTGGCAAACTTTACCCAGGTTACCGTGTCAAGCTTGTCGTCCTGATTGTTGGCGTCCTTGGAGGGATGAAACAGTCTTTTGTATCCTCACTTGCCAGAGTTCCAGCTTGCTTATCAAAAGCTGAGTTCTTGGCAGTCAGGATGCAGAAGGCTGTGATACTAGGTTCCCTCCGTCTACTTAGGAAAATGACTTTGGCCTGCTGTGATCACTAACCGCCTTGTTGTGCGGAGTGGTCCAGCAGTAATGGATGGAGCTCAGGCTGGGCCCTCGGAGAGTCGGACTCCGGGGACAACCCCCCTGAGCATTTAATAACATAATAATAATAATAATAATAATAATACACGGAAAAGTTATAAAATTTATTTATTAATTTATTATATTATATTTTTAAATATAAAACGAGAAACATTAATAACATAAAATAATAAAAATAATATTTATTTTTTTCGATTTCCCTCCCAGTCTTTTGCATTGCTTAAAATTACTCCCACAGCTTGTTAAATATCAGATGGATTACCACAATTGTGGGCTTTGAAAACTTCGTTCAAACAATCTATGATGTTAAAATCTATTATAATGGTTTTTTCACCACTTTTTCTGGAGCCAGTGTATTTTAAAGCTACATCCTTAACTAACATTCTTTTAAATATATTAGTTAATTGTTTACTTATTGTAGTAATCGTTGGCACATACCAGAAGTTCAATAGAGAAATGAAGTCTAACCGTAATGATGATTCATCAGTTTTAAGAGTTACAAGTACTGGTTATCCATTCTTCTTTAAGCTAAAAAAAAAGAATTTTTATTAATTTTTCGTTCAATAAATAATAATCGAAATAAAAATTAATTTACCTGTGTATAATAATAATAATAATATCCGTCGCAATTAATATTCCTTAATTTTTTTTACATATCTGTACAAACTGATTAACAATAAATAACCTCTATGAATATCAAACCTATACTATGACAAGTAAACAACTTGAGTCAGGTGACCTCTATCTGTTCTCAACCATGTTAAAATATCTCTTGAAACATTTCTCTTTTTAGGTTGCCATAGTAACCAAACATGGCTGTTTACATGTATACCACTACTTATATACTACTTTGTCACATAACCAAAAATAAATTTTGTCTTTATAAGTAAATAAAATTTTAAAGTATATTACATATTAGTGAGTTGAATATAACTCCATTTTAAAATTATATTTATTTACTTTAAAAAAGTTAAAAATTGTGATAATCATCATTGTTAATATTATTAAATAATTAGCACAGATTATTTTTACTCACTAATAAATGATGTAAATTTAAAATACACTGACACATTTAAAAAATATTATTGTTTTAATTTCAAAAAATTTTTACTGTTTTTAATTTTTAAAAATTTTATTGTTTTCAATTTTTAAAAATTTGATTGTTTTCAATTTTAAAAAATTTTATTGTTTTCAATTTTAAAAAATGTTATTGTTTTTAATTTTAAAAAATTTTTATTGTTTTCAATTTAAAAAAATTCTATTGTTTTTAATTTTAAAAAGTTTTATTGTTTTTACTTTTAAAAAATTTTTATTATTTTTAATTTTAAAAAATTTTTAAATATGATTAAACACAATACAAGTAACTTAACCATCAAACACCTATAATAGTTTGAATTTGAATATAATATTAATAAAAATTAATAACTGGATTAAATGTCAATGTCAGTCAAATGTTTTTAATTTTTTCTTTAATGCGATAAGGGTACCACAAATTTTATTGGCCTACGATCACAAGATTTTAATTCCAAAGCCACCAATTTTTTGTAAATACGGTTAACTTCAAATGTTTTCAGAGAATCAGAAATTTTACTACACTCAACCATATTACGAATAATTGAATCACATGGATATTCAAAAGTTGGTTTTTTAATGCTCCAGACTTTTCCTCGCATTTTAAATAAAGTCCGTCCTTCTGATAAATACTTCTAATTTCAAATACATCAGAATTTATTAACAATACCATATTGTCAGGTGCTGTTGGACGAATAAAATAACTCCTGTATTTCAAGGCTTTGATTTTGTAATTTTGTCGCTTCAGGATTTCAAACATAGGTTTCATAGGAGTTTTTGTGCGAGTAATTTTCTGCTCACATAAGTAACGTCTTGCGAATTGAGCGAGAGGTAAATGTCCAGATCGTATGAACTTTCGGATTTTACCTAAAAAATTTTCAAAAGCATAAGCTGAAAATTGACTCGTAGGTAGACCAGTAAATTCCACATCGTCAGCAAGATGAGCTACATTATGCATATTAATTACCAAAGACTTTTCTCCGTAATGTTTTTCTAAATCTAGACAAAATTTCGAAAGTATACCTCTGACGAAATTTACGTGAGTTCATATTAGGTTTTCATTTGAAAGTGTTCTTGTTGCTACGTGAAATAATAAAAAGTGATTATAAAGATGATCAGGTATAATATTTTTGAATATTATAGGTCCAACTGTTTGACGAATCAATCGAAATTCTGTTGCTTTGAACTTTGATAAATATTTTAATGATCTTGGTTTTCTAGAATATTCCTTTGGCATTTGATTTCTTAAATCTTCCAATCTTTTTGAAAGTATTCCCAGTTAGTTTTACTTATTTTAATTTTTTTTTCACCATTATACCAATAATTTAGAAGTTTACTGGTTACTCCATTATCTAAAAGATGCATCGGATCTAATACTATAGATCTAACCATGTCTATCGGAGGTTTAATAGTAATTAGAGGTGTAATTTTTCTGTGATGTTCTGGGTCATCATACGCACGAAATGATTCATCAGTTCTCAAAAAAGCATCATCAAATCCATAAACAGTAGTTCCATCAATTTTTTTACCAACAACAGTACAACGTTCACAAGCATGGAAGCCTCCATTATGCTTTACACCTTTTATGAAGCTTCTAGCTGGGGTGTCGCAAACGATACTATTTATTTTAACCGAAAATAAATTATCGTCTATTTTCAAACCATTTAATTGAAGATCATTAATTTCAATAATCAATTTATTAAAGTATTGTACCAGCTCTTTAGGCTTAGAGTGACTAGACTTAGAGTGACCAGTTTATTATTAAGCCATACTAAAGCATACCTTTGCGAACCTGCCTAAGATGTCTAATAATAATTTACTATATCAATATTAATTATAACTGATGATAATCATCTATTTTTATCCCATGACAGTGAGTTAGGAGTTATGAAACTATATAATTTGAGTTTTGTCATTCAAGGAAATGTGTAACATGGCATATTAACGAGTATATCAAAACCATAATTTTGTTTATTTAAGATCAATCCAATATCAAAATATCATACATACTTAAATACTAATATACTTAAATTGTTACTATCTGTTCAAGTGGCCAGCATTAGCAGTCTTTTGACTTTGGTATACATCTGGGTCTCAGCAGTGAGGCTTGATGCAAGCTTAACAAACGACTGCACAGTTTGTATATATTTCTGTACTTATGTGGTACTAACAATTTCAAACTCTTCAAATATTAAAAAAAGTATTGTATTACATACAGGTTGGTTTTAAATGAAAGAGACTGATGCCTCGATGTAATAATGGTGAATTTGTCATATTTTATTACATTTACAAAAACGAAATAATACTAGAATTAGACAAAATGAGCAGAATTGATTCTGCTTTGAAGCTTTGTGAAATATTATCTATCTTCATTAAATAAAATTAAATAATACCTTAAATTGCTAAGTGAGAGTTAGCAAGTTTTAATAACATCTATTAACATGCTTGAATTTTGAAGTGATAAGCAAGAAACTATACTGCATTAATTATCTTGCATAAGTATCGTTCGATGGTAACTTGTATCGACAGTCGTATTTACCTACCGAGCAGCCTGTGATTATTTTATGCTATTGTACATAATAGCATTTATAAATTTGGTTATACCGAGTCATTTTTTGATAAAAGTATCCCTGATAAAAAAACAAAAAAAAATTAGAATATATTGGAGATGACGAATTTTCAATTTTTTTCAATATTTATGATCATTTTTTATACTTTTGTATTTCTTTTCTTGTTTAGAATTAACATTTTCAATTCTCTTGAGTTTTTTCAATAATAAGCTAAAATGATAATCTAAAATCAAACAATGATGACAAATTCTTATAGTATTAATAGTAATAGTTTTCTCAAGGTCAATTTTTCGTAATAATAATAATAATTATTATTATTAATAGTTAATGATTAATAATGATAATGATAATAATAACAATTATAATTAATAGTTAATGATCAATAAAGATAATTATAATTATAGTAATAATAATGAACATGTACTGGCTTTATAGTTTTCTGTAACTATATTATATGAAAAAAAATTACTGGAATTCGAGTAAACATAATATTCCAGGAAAAAAACATAACATCAGTTTTCTGTTGTCCAATAATAGTCTTCTTATGGTATTGTTTGTGTATATACCAATATTAGTATCAACGAGATATGTGTTCTATAGTATGTCTACAAAAGTGTTAGTTTTTCGTGAAACGAAATATTGCGATGAATATTAGTGTGTTGATTGTAAAAGAGTGTGGTATGGAATTATGGCCTTTTGACTGATTCGAAAAAATCTATAAGGGACATTTTTTTTTTGTTTATTTTGCGGACTTTCGATCGATTAACTTGAAAAAATAAATAATTTCGTTATTTAATAATATGATTATCATTTCTATTTTTATTTTAATTATTATTAATATTATTACAATGATTATCTCAATCGTTAATCGTCATAGTTGAAGTTCTTGCAGTAATTTTTAAAGAAATAGTTTGAATAATCTATATTATGGCCAAAAGATTGATCTAATAAAAAAAAAGTTTTTTAAAAAAAAAGTAGTAGATAATTTTATTTTCTATAATAAAAGTTTATTATGATTTTTTCATACGACCAATATTTTCATCGTTATTTTAAACTGAAGATTCATAATAAATCATATAAATTTAAGCTGATTTAAAAAATTTTAATTTTGAAATTATGACTTTTTTATTAGGTCAAAGAAAAATCATAAAAAGAAATTGTTTAATAAAATTGAATTTCATACAACTTTTATTAAAAAAATTTAATTCAACGAATCTCGTCTATACATAAAAAATTTGTCATTAAATATTAAATCTTATTTTTAAATTGCAGCAAAAGTCGTGTTCTTATTAATAATATAACTTAATTAACTAGTACATGAATGTTTGTGATTTATCATTTCATTTTTTATTTTAATAAAATAAAAGTGTCAATTTTTTCATGTGACTCAATAATGTTTTTTTCTGATTTTTCAAGATATCGATTGATTAACTTGCGAAATTAAATAATTTTGTTATTTAATCTAATTAGTACAATTTAATTATTATAATTTCAATTATAATCAATATTATCATGTTATCTTAATCATTAATGGTCAAGTCCGAGATTCTTGCTCGACATAACAGCCATAGGATTGATTATATAAATGAAGTTTTCAAACAAATATCGGAAATGTAACCTTCCTGTAATAGAAGATTCTTATAATTTTTTTATGCGATCAATATTTTATCATCATTCCAAACTAAAGATTCATAATGAATGAAATAAATTTGAGCTGATTAGAAAAATTTCAATTTTGGAATTCTGATTTCTCTATTGGTCTTAGAAAAAAATTGTATGAGACATTTTTTTCGAAAGTTAAATTTGGACCAATTTTTATTTCAAAAAATTTTTTAGACCATCAAAATTTTGGCTCTAATATCAATAAATTTCCATTGATTATTGTCTGAAATTTCATTAATTATCTTTCATTCATTTTTCGAAATTTCTTAGACATTATGAGTTGGTAGATTTTTTGTGTCTAATAGTTTTATTATCGTTTTATATTCAAGTCTTCAATTCAAAGTTAATCGCGTACTTCACACAACATTTTTAACATGCCGCTGAAAAATCGGGAAGTTTTACCCCGTTTTTCGAAAATCGAGTTTTTAACTTATGTTGATGTTTTGAGGTCCTAGGAAGTCTCCCCGAATGTTTCCGCGGTGATGTCCGTATGCCTTTATGTGTGTGTGTGTGTGTGCGTGTGCGCATGCGTGTGTGTGTGTGTGTGTGTGTGTGTGTGTGTGTGTGTGTGTGTGTGTGTGTGTGTGTGTGTGTGTGTGTGTGTGTGTGTGTGTGTGTGTGTGTGTGTGTGTGTGTGTGTGTGGCCGTATGTAAACCTCTCATAACTTTTGAACGTCTCGACCGATTTGATCGCGGTTGGTGACATTCGAAAGGGCTCGACCAAACTTAGATTTTGAATACAATTTAGACCGATTCGAACCGGTATATTTTGAGAAATCTCAAAAATACTTCAAAAAAAATTTTTTAAATGTGGTTTTTGTGGAATTACTTTTAAACCACTACTGATCAATTCCAGAAACTAATCAGCTCTCAACATCAAAAAACCACGTCGCTCGCCGCTAGCCCGGTCACAATCGATTCATTCCTTTATGAGTTATCGTTGTCGAAAAAAAAAACAGAAAAAAATGTTTTTTCGGAATTACAACGAAATTCCTACTTCGATCGATTAAAACTCAATGACTCTTTATGAGGCCTGAAAAACTGCGTCGAATACCACCAACCTTGTAAAAATCGGTTAATTCATTCAAAAGTATTGCGGTTTTAGAATTTAAGAAATAGTTGTCATATTAAACTTTTACCAGATTTTTGAGCTCGGAGTAAGTACAATTTTGAGCGCTTAAATATAAAATTAACGGGAAGTTGCAGGGATGGCCTTTAGGGCCAACCGTTTTTCTATTTTTTTTTTTTATAATATTACTTTTTTAAACCATTTTGGAATCTTACAATTATGGGTTAATTTTAACCTATAACTTTCAGAAGAAAAATGATCAACGGTAACCATAGTAACGGTAACCATGGCAACGGTAACCATGGCAACGGTGACCATGGCAACGGTAACTATGGTAACGATCACCATGGCAACGGTAACCATGGCAACGGTAACCATGGCAACGGTAACCATGGCAACGGTAACCATAGCAACGGTAACCATGGCAACGGTTTTGGGGCGGGTCTTTTTATATTCACTAACAATTTCAAGGACATACTGTTTTTGATCTTCGTGCTTAGCTAGAGTGTTGATATATTCTTCAGTCAATTTGACAGCTCGCTCTGCAGAATCATTGACTACTTGTAGATGCTGAACAATTTCCAAACCTTTCAAATAATCTGGATGATCTGACCATAAACTATCATCTAGTTGAAGAAAGTTTGTGTCAATACAAAATCTTTCGAAAAATTTGAGGGAATTCGAACTTATAAAATAATCAACGTTTTTATTGAGAAACCAATTAAAATCCTCCAAGTTGAAAATAAAGCGTTTAGGATAGTCAAACTGATCCTCATCACTTGATGTCAAAGCCGCCACCATTTTTTGCTTTACGTCAGAAGAGATATTTTTATCAAAAAATGACAAAGCAGCTGTTTCAGGACTTAAATACCATAAATGGTTTTCAAATTTTACTAAAACTGCTTCTGATAATTTTTGATCAATCACACGATACTTATAGACTGCTTTAAGGAATTCAAGATCTTGATTCGGAGCAGTTGCGGCTAAAGGTGCCGTTTACCAAAATGAAATGTAAATAAACACAATAAATACTGAAGAGCCCAAAAGCTCAAAACAGCTACTTTTTTATAGAGCTCAAAAAACTACATCGATTGCCGCCAACCACCTGAAAATCGGTTAATTCATTCAAAAGTTATTGCCGTTTGAAAATTCAAAAAATTGTGTCTTTAAACTGCTATCAGAGTTTTGAGCTCGAAGAGCTCAAATTGACACAAAAACAATATTTTTGAGCTCGAAGAGCTCAAAAACGTAATGTGTAGTTTGAAGCGTTTAAGTACAAAATTAGCGGGAAGTTGCAGGGATGGCCTTTAGGGTGAACCGTTTTTCTATTTTTTTTTTATCAGTATTATTTCGTTTGTAAATAGCAGTCATTTTATTTTTATTATATCTATTGTTAAATAAGTAAATTATTTTTTTTTAAAAAGGAAAGTATTGTAGCGACAGCTACACCAAATTTTAAGTCCCACTCGGGTGACTTCGGCGAGACTCGTGTGTAGCCGCCGGCGCGAGCCTCACATACACACACATACATACGGTCTCGAGCAACCGAACTGCGTCACGCGCTTTTTTGCTCTGTACAATTATTCCTCATATTTTGTTATCAATAAATATCACGTTAATATTTAATTCTTTTGAGTTTATTAATTAAGTAGTGATTTTCCCTAACCATAAATCCTACATTGGTGACCCCGACGTGATAATAAGTGATATAAAGTGAGTGAAGCGGTGAATAACCCGCGTTTTTTATCGGCTTACGCAATCGCCACGTGTCGTGAAATTGTGAAATAAATTAATTTAGCGAAAATTATCACCACCGGTGCATTGCCGGGCAACATTTGGACGTTTTGCCGCATCGGTAATTAATTTAAGGGACCATAAGTGCGAATTAAACTGGTGAAAAATTTTCTGACGAAATCTCAGGAATTTGGCAAGTACTACTGCGCAACAGCTTCTCGCATAATTCTCTCGTGTTCATGTTACACTCGTGTGATTTCCTTTGTGTTCTAGCAGTGACGTAGTGCATTCCATTAGACAATGACAAAGCACAACAAAGACGCAATTCCCGCTGCCGTCGCACAAATTGTTACACCGCCGATGTTCGTCACTCCCCCTGTGGTTTTTAATCCGAAGACAGCCGCGCTGTGGTTCGCGCAACTGGAGGCGCGATTCGAGACGTATAACATCGCTGACGAGAAACAAAAATTTAATCACGCAGTTTCTCTTTTAGATGCAGATGCCGCAGTAGAAGTCGAGGCGCTGATCGTCACACCCCCAGCGGTCAATCCGTACACGCAGCTCAAAGAAACACTGATAAAATGTTTTTCAGC